GTAGTGAGCAACATACAGTACATGTAGTATGTGTGTGTGTGTGTTGCTCACTATTATTTTTTTAGTAAACTTACAAACTTACAATAGTTTCAGTGATGCCATATTGTTCTTTAATTTAGCCGGAATAGCAAGCCGCTTTCGATCTGTACACGTAAGCCATTTAACTTGTATATTACACAAATGTTACTACAAAACAGACAGTTTTAAGTGCAAAAGGTGCAAAGGTGCAGACTCGCTCCAGCATCCCCTTAAGTGGCCGAAAAGTAACGAAGTTGAGGTGGTAACGTGGGTCACCACCATGCGTCAAAGGGTTAACCGATTTACACGACGTGACGCGAGGACCCTTCGGGACCGAGGAAGTAAAGAATGCAAAAAGCATTTCTCTCTTTCCAGAAACTCGAAACTCGGGTGAATTGTACACGCCGGAAATCGATGCGGCGATCCGAGATTTTTATCGGACGAGATCCGCCCGGCTCGTCCCGTCCGTTTCTCTCCCGTGACGGCGGTGCCGCGCGTACACGGTTATCGCGCGCTGTTAAACCGAAGTTATATTATTGGCGCAACAGGAAAGAAGACAATTTCACGGAAATGCGTCCCGCCCCGGAGACGCGACGGCGAGAGGCAGGCGCGCGCGTTTATTTCGACGATATTAGAGACACGCGATCGTCCGCTGTCGCCACCCCGGCGATAAATACTAATTGAGATTAGCATCAGCAGTGACGCCCAACAGGTGTTCCGTGAGAACTTTCGGAGCGAGGAAGGGAGACTCGAAGGAAGAGGGTGGAAATCCGAGAAGGAGAAAGAAAAATGGGCCTCTCCGGGTTTCGATAGAATCACGTGTAAACCGCGTACACAGCTATTTCTCAATCCACGCGAGTGTACCGTACGTAATAAAAAGATTTTCTCCATCTCGCGCGCCATGTTATTAAAACGGTTTTCGAGAAGTCTTAGAACTTGCGTATACACGGAGAGAATTTTCTCTTAAAATTTACCCTGAAAAATCGTGTGATCGTGGGACAACATGGCATTTCGAACAACTTTATGAGAGTTTTCTGAAATTTTACCAGTGTAATTGTACAATGTATAGTAACCCAGCGAGAAATGACCCGTCGGTCGATGTCGAATCGACACCGACACCGTCAAATTGACTTCGAATTTAACAATGTCAAATGACAAACTTTTTACAGTCTTGGAATAAAGATATCGGTATGATTTTCTCATAAAACAGTTCTAATACATGTTACAGAACGTAGAAAAAATAATCCACCGTAAAATACAAATAGTTTGATAATGTCAAACGGTTGTTCATTTTTTCTGTTATAAGAGTGGTAAAAAGGAATTGTCCTGATCTCCTGAACTATCGCAACAAACATTCGTGGAAGAGAGAGTTTTCTCGCCGCGGGACAGTAACTGAGTCTTTGGAAGGACAAACTCCATGTTGAATCAGAGAAGCCTGCTAATGAATGTACTTTCAATACTCGGATATTATTAAGAACGATCCGAAAAAGGTTGGCGCGGTCCACGAAAAATATCAGGGTCGACAGCTTGAGCAGACTCAAGCTGACGGCCAGCAGAAATCAATCGAAGCGAGTTTCGCACAATTGGCCGGCTTGCCAACTAAACGTACAATTTTCTGGAGAGGATGGCGGCTGTAAATCTCCCTCATCTCCTAGCATCCTGACATTACAGCGGCAATTAAATCCCCCCCCGGAAGTGTCCGGCGGGTGAGGCGAAATCAAAGGAGAAAATTATATAAAATTTACGTCGTGGAATAGAGATATCTTGTCGTGTAAAATATTTCTAATACATGTTATAGAACGTAGAAAAAGTAATCCACCATAAAATGCAAATTGTTTAAGAATGTCAAACAGTTGCCCATGTTTTTCCATCATAAGAGTGATTAGTTCTTCAAAGTGCCACGTTGTCCCACGATCGCACGATTTTCAGAATCAATTTTAATAGAAAGAAATGAGTTTTTTTTATTTTGTCCTGCATTCTACTAGTAAAATACGTATGGTAAGGTTTCGAAAAACTCTCGCAGAGTTCTTGAAAATGTCACGTTGTCCCACGATCGTATGATTTTCAGGATAAATTTTACGAGACAATTCTCCCCGTGCACTGATTGACATTTAGAGAGTATGTAATTTCATATAAAAGAAATACTTCGAAATATCAACAGCTTCGAGAGTTCTATATTTTTTTATTACTTGTACTTGACTAATTGTAAGACTGCGTTCCAACTTTATCTTTGTCGTTCGTCACATGTCGAAGAAAGATGGAATGGATACGTTCAGCGCGTGAGTGCCCAAAGCGAACGCACCTGTACACTGAACGGTTCGGCATTGATTTTTGTATTTTCTCTTCTAAAAACACTATAAAATACTACGCTCGATATGTTCAATGTAAGGTACAATGTGGTTATTTATTTTACTTATGTATGCAGGGTGTTCCAGGAGGAGAGGACAATATTCTGGAAGGTGATAGTATCGGTCATTTTAAGCAAAAATGTTCATACGATGTACGTCCCATTCCCCACTGTTTCCGAGATAGAGCACATTTTGTTGACGTCCTCGTTCAGATGAAACACGAACACTGGGAAGCGGTCCACTTTCACGCAATGTATCGAAAACCTTGGGAAACACTACACGATTCGGAATTCTGCGTGTAGGAAAGCGTCGACGGTACTCTTCAACAGCAGCGGTAGCACTACCGTCGCAGAAACCGTGAACGTACCAGCATATCTGCATACTCGACATTTGCGAATACGCGAGGCATTTTGAACATTTCTACAATGTTATCAGGACAACAGTCAACAGACGTGTAAGAGTAAATTCCCGCAAACGTTTATGAGGTTGGACGAAGGGTGAAGTGTACAGAAAAGAAGTAAATACAT